TCTGGCAAGGTGCCTTCTTGGGTGGCATCCAGCACAATTTCAAGTCGCCCGTGCAGGGCTCGGAAATTGGGGAAGAGTGGATCAACAACTGTCAACAACTGCACTTTATGGGGACACTCGCGGCTAGGTAGTTCATGCCGCAGTAGTAGCGCCAGCACCAGGAATTAGCAGCAACACAGCAACACAAACGCTGGCGACATCGTTACGGGGCCAAATGAAAGAGACCACGCACATGACTGAAGCACAGAGAAAGCTGTACCCTAAGCACCAAGCCCTAAACCACACTCTTCGGCGATCTCCCCTAAGCCCTCAGTCCCTAACTCTTACCTTTGGTTAGTAGGGAATGGAAGAATGGTAGTAATAGTAGCTATAATTGTACCCCATTCCTCCATTCCCTACTAACCAAACCCTAAACTCTATGCCCTAGACTCTAAACCCATTCCTCCATTCCCTACTAACCCCCGAAGTCCCTAACTTCGGATATCTCAGGTTAGATGCCGCCGGCCTCAACGGAAATGCCAGAGGGAGCTCGGACCTTAGGCGCTCCTTCCATCGCCCAACTGGGAGTTCCCCGAAAATAGGGGACCCTCATATAGTACCCTAAATAGTAGGGTCCGTATCACAAGGACCCCAAGATAAGGTACCCCCAATTGTCGGAAACTCCCAACTGGATCAGGGTCTTTGTAAAGGCTTCCGTTGAGAAAAGAGTCTATTAGGGCCACAGCAATGACGGCTAAATATGCGGAATACTTTCAGGATTACTATGATGTTTGTCAACTCCACAGCAAGCGTCACATTTCTGATCGCGATTTTTTTAGAAGCTCCTAGTAGGTTTATCCAAGAAACCCTCTTCTAAAAAGCCCTCTTCTGTTTTCAAGAAACCCAAACCCTAAACCCCTAAACCGTACACCCTAAACCCCTAAGCCCTAGTCCCTAAACCCCTAAACCGTAGACCCTAAACTTCGAACATTTCCTGAAGTCCTGAGAGGGTCCAACCAGCCTTTCGCAAAGCGAATTCCTGATTGTCAAGACTTTAGGCGGACGGAAAAGGGTGCTCAAAAAAAAACCGAAGTTTTAGTCCCTAAACCCCTAAGCCTTCAACCCTAAACCCTAAATCCTAAAAGCCCTAAACCCTAAACCCCAGAGACTGGTGCAGTTGCAAAAAGGCCCTCAAAAAACAGAAAAACTAAACCCTAAGTGAGGCCTCTACAGAGATGGAGCCAGCGAGGCAGGACTGGATCCAGAGCCTCAGCCTCGATGTTGCGCAAAGCTGAGTTTGCTTGCTCGAAGATTATACATCTAAATATAATGTGTGTACATACATACACACATACACACACACACATATATATATATATATATACATATGTATGTATATGTACATATACATTTGTAGCTACATACATGTGCATCTGTATGTGTGTATAAAAATATCCAACAGATTATGCTTGCATTTCTGCCTATCTCTCTACACATATTATATGTGCATATACGCACATGTATAAAGATAGTCTGCACCATATAATATGTGTTGTATCGTATATGAAACTTCCTGTTACATTATGTCATACTCCGTTAGATAATGTCGTTATATGATTCAATGATGCTGCACTACATTGCATTGCATCATGTGTCGCTTTGTCATATTCATGTAATCACTTATACTTACATATTTACATCTCAAATTACTATTACTATGGCTGTTTTGGCGTTCTTAGACATGTACGTATAAAGATGTATAATACTATGGTGTTTTGTGCTGGAGTGTTCCATATATCTTATCTTGCATTAATCAATGTCTAGTACATGTTGTTGGTCCATCTTGTCTATCTGTAGCAGTGGTTTCAGTATGTTTGTTTCGCATGTTCATCATGTTCGTAGTATTGCATACTATATCTGTTGTACAAGTACTTTGAATCATGCTTGTTTGTTATATAGGTCATATCATAGTATGTTCTTAACGACAATATTATGTAATGTTGTCTTTCATATGTTGCATATTAGAACTTACAGTGTAGTTGATTTTATAACAGCTGTGGGTTCCCATTAAAGTCTCCGAAGTTAAAAGCCATGGCATCCCCATTCTTAGTTACCGTTAACATTAATACATGTAAGCTAAAATACTGCCCAAACATTTGCTTCAACGGTTGCCGTCACATTCATGCTAGTATTAAACTACACGAAACGGACTCCATTAAGAACCGCGATCCTTGCTGTCTTCGCTCTGGTGTTCCCCAAAGGATGGCCCTTAGGGATTATACCAACATTTGTTTATTTACCTCAATATATTGTACATGGCGCCCCCTTTCTCACTGTCAGACTTGCTGTCGGTCTTGCCCGTATGCGGTATGTACATTCATGTGTCTACATACACATGCTAACCCTCAGTTTAAACCTGTACTAGACACCAACATAGTGACGAAGATCATTAGCTGACTCCTGTTTCCAAACAACATCAACCTTAACCATATCCTTGTCATTCGCTGTTATGTCAATGGTGACCGTAATATTCGCCCTGACAGCAGCCCTGAGGCCATCCATAGTAGGCAAGTACCACCCATAATCTGGCCCCGATGTTTCTTATTTTTTTACAACTTCAATCAGCTAGAAGACATCAAGCGGTAGCTGTGATCACTAGCTCCCGATCGACCCCAAAGTTGACCCGAATATTGTCTTGGTTACTACCCAATATATTGTAGAGTATTAATGTTGGCGGAATCGCATCGCAGTAATAAAAAATACTCTAACCTTAAAGGCAACACTTGTTCGTAACGCGCGCAAACACATGAAATGCACACTCCTCGCTAGAAAACCCTGGTTTTGGAGTGAACTGCCAATTCTTTCCTTGGAAAAAGATAGTTTTGGCATGCAAAACAAACTATTTCCTGGGAAAAGAATGGTTTTGGGATGGAAAACCAATTTTGCCTAGCAAGAACCAAAAAATTTTTTGGGAAAACTATACGGCCGAATTTCAAAAAAGATTGTTGTTTGGTTTTCCTAGGAAAAAAGATGGTTTTTGGTGGAACAACCAAGTTTTTCCTAGGAAGAAGATGGTTTTCGTGTGAAAAACCAACCTTAACCTAGGAAAGATATGGTTTTGGTGTGAAAAAGCAACCTTTTCCTAGGAAAAAGATGGTTTTGGTGTGAAAAACCAATTGTTTCCTAGGCAAAAAAATAATGGTTTTGGTGCGAAAAACCAATTTTTCTTCGGGAAAACCAAACAAAACATATTTTTGAAGTCTGGCCGCAATTGGCCGCATAGTTTACCAAAAGATGTTTTTTTTGTTTTTCCCAGGAAAAGTTGGTTCTTCACGTCAAAACCATCTTTTTCTCGGAAAAGGTTGGTTTTTCATTCCAAAGCCATCTTTTTCCTAGGGAAAACGAAAACCATCTTTTTTGGAGTCCGGCCGTATAGTTTCCCCAAAGATGTTTTTGTTTTCTCTGGGAAAGTTGGTTTTTGTGAGGAAGAATACAGTGTTGCCGTGACGTGTGTGCTCACGTCGATCCTGAACCAGTTGCTTAGCGGCTGGTTTGTGATCGGAAGAGTACAGTCTTACCGTTGAGTGTTCGCTCACGTCGAACCTGAAAGAGCAGTCTAGCACGTTCTGTTGAAACGTGAGCTTCGTTTAGGTTGTCTTTGCGAGATACGGAATCTGGATCTGGCGGAAAAGCCGTCTCAACACGGTATTTACGATACAAAACGAGGGTCGGTTGTTCTTGGGGGGTTACCATATCCATATCTATGTATATATATATATATATATATTTATATATGTATACATATGGTTTTACACATGTATATTTATATATGTCTAAAGATCTGTACATATGCGTTCAGATCATCGTAGCGATCCTTGGTATATCTTGGTATGGGTGTCGGGTTTAGAATTTAGGGCTACAATTGAAGATTCACCCTGGCAGGTTTTCAGTAGGATATAGCATACCTTAACCCCGAAGAACCTACCTTTTTAAGGACTTATAAAAAGAAATCAGAATAAGGAGCTCTAAAACGGTAGGAGGTTCAGGGTTAAGGTAGGGATTACGCAGGCTTGCTAGGTGTCAGTTTGCTCAGGTCGGCTACGGCCCGCGTTCTGGCCAGATCGAGATCGACTGGTTTTTTATCCTAGGTCTTTCAACGCAGCAGGAATAGATACCGCTTGCACTCGCAGCACTCAACTGCCTTCTTCTGAGAGATTTAGACAGATTCGGGACGTTTCCCTCAAAGTGAGGTGCCCTTGAGAATGACGATTTTCGGGCAGATGAATGCTAGCACAGGTAGTAGTAGGATCGGCCAAGCCGATTAGAGTTTCAGAGCCTGCGCTGCTAGAACTGGGTTTAGCAATCTATCCCTTTGCTGACTTTCTTGGAGTCGGAGAAGCCAACGCAGGCTACACCATGATTGTCGTAGCACGGATAACATGGCTGATGTCATCCAAGAGCGGGCGACACCTGCAGGTGTTGCCGTTGCTGTCTTTTAGCTTGGGCCCGTCCTTGCTCCTTGATGCGGCTTATGCGCATTGACATGTCAAAAGCAACTGCCCGCGACGACACCGGCTGCTGTGAGTCGAGAACCGATGTTCATGTTCGCGCCTTGACCCTAAAATCCTCAGTGCTTGGAACTGCAGCGAAGAAGGCAACACTCGGTTCTTCTTGGACGTCCGGCCCATGCAGCCATGCTTGAAACTCAAAGAGTAGTGCAACCACGCTCAGCTATCTACATCTCCTGAAAGCGAGTAATATGAGTGGGTGCAAGTAAGTACACAAAGGCAGAGCGGTCCTCAGTGCTGGAGGACCTCCCATAGAAGCTTTCGGAGAGTTCAAGCAACGCTTCCCATTGTGGTTTTCCCGCACAACCTCTAGTCGGGTGCAAGACTTGCAGCCCTATAACCCAAACACTCAACTCATTCGAACCCTACCAACCTAATACCTAAACCTAAACTTAAACCAAACTCACTTATTAAGCCTTTCCAGCGACCTATAGCCAGTTCCATGGTTTCAACATGCGCTGCTGCTGTGCTCTCGCAGCCACATGTATTTGTTTATTTGCTGTGCAGGGTGCGATAGCACCAACACGAGCATGCGCCCAAAGTGACTGGCGCTTTAGCTTCGGTGTTTGTCATGAAGGCCTCCGACATATTTACCCATACACACAGAGATGCGACGAGACGAAGAGTCCTGTGAAGCCCTCGCCGCTTTTCAACGTGTCCTGTCATAAAACCTGTCCTGCGGGAACACACTTGGCAGCAAAGCTCCTAAATGGCCTGGTAGCGCTCGATTGTGTGGACTGCAAACCCGGCCACTTCTCCTTGGGTGGCGGACTGTTGATCTCCGGGCAGGCGGGAGATTGGCATCGCTCCTGGCCTCCTGGGCTCCGGAGCAGTTGCTCCTACCGACGCCTGGATGGCTCTTGGCACACGGACGGCGCGAGCACTACTGGTCTAACGACTGGGGTTTGCCAGATCCAGATTCTGAGTCCTCCCACTGTTGCTGGGGCTTACTACATCCGGGCAACACATACGAAAAGCAAGGGAACAAGGTCCCCACTGGGTGTGGCTCTTTTCGTCCTGGCGCCGGGCGATCGGCGCTTATGCTACAGGATCTCTGGAAACTTGCACCCACAGGCAGGCGGCTTCACAGGCCAGAGGCCTGGTGCAAGTCAAGCGGACACTGGCCGCCGCAGCCTGAATTTCTGGTTGCTGGCAGCAGCAGGTGGTTGTTCTTACGATCGAAAAGCGCAGGTGGCGGGCATGGCCGGAGCACAGGGTGTGGTGCTCGCCCCTGCAGCTATTTTGGACATCGCTGCCGGTCCCCACGGGCCGCCAGAGCACACCCGACCGGGGGGAGACAACGTCTCCCGAACTGTGCCGATCTATGAGTTCCTGGAGAGTCAGGATGCCCAAGTCCTCGCCGCAGCGCTGCGAGTGAGGCAGAAGGGAAGTGCAGAGATGATCCTCAACGACACAGCTGTGCAGTTGTGTTCAGAGACCGAACCTTCGGTCTCTCCCGAGATCGGCACGCCGGGCAACGTCACGACACTTGGCGTGCTACTAGTATTTCTGTTCACCATCATGTCTGTCCCTACTTCGTCACGCTTCCGATGTCCAGGTACGGCTGCAATGCTTGGATGCCAGACGAGCTTGGCAACAGCATCCACTCTGGCGACAATCGCAACTTCAATCGCATGGCCAGGCCCTTGGCAGGTCGAGGTGTGCCAAGATTCTGCAACAGAACTGGCAGTATAATGCCTTTATATAATTAGAATAGGGTTTTTTGGTGGGCTCCTTATCATAACCGTAACAGCCCCTACATCATGGCATGGTCCCTTCTGCAGCCAAGGTCTCTAGCTTGGAGCTCAGCGTGAACATCGTGCGCAAGGAGGGCTATGTAGTCTTCCGCTACCAAGTGGATGCAGAGGAGTGCAGGGGTTTGAACAAACAAAATGAGCATGCGATTTCGCCAAACTGATAACCAGAAGTTGTCTGTAAGCACTGGTTCATCACGTGTGTGAGTGTCTGTCACACACATGGGTGGTTGTCAAAACTGTGGTTCCTTTTTGGATCCCTAGTATCATACGGCACCTATTATGTGGGGTACCCAAAAAAGGACCCTAATTTTGACAACCACCCACATGGAAAAGCAGCCTCGTGAAACGCAGGAGGGCTACGATGGCTTCAGCTTCGAAGTAGATTGGAAGGAGGCCGTGTTGACGAGTTTATTTGGCAGTGGGATGCGCAGACGGGGGGACGGTGAGACGTTGCCATGATGTCTTGTGCAAGCGTGTTTCTATCTCGGAAGCACTTGCATATCTGGCTCTGTGGCTCCAGCAGCTGCGGATATGAAACGTGCAAGCAGCAAGGCTCATGCTTTCATGCACATACAGAGCTGATGAAGAATAATCCGTCTATTTCAAGAGTTCTACAGCTTGAGTGAAGCGAGTTTTCCGATTCGATGGCCGAGACGATCACAGTTGCACCCCCTGAGCAGCTACTGGCACAGGTCAACAGCTTAAAGGCTGCTATCGGAACCTTGCCCCAGTTGCTGGATGACCTGCGGAGCCACAACTTGCCTGAGAGTGCGATCAGTGATGCTGAACAGAACCTGAAAGTCGGGGTCAACTTGCTGGAAGCTAATCTGCCTCGAATTTGCTTCTTGGGAAAGACTGGGAGTGGCAAGACGTCGCTGATGAATGCTTTGCTCGACAAGACCCTGCTGCCTGCAGAGGACACTGGCAAGGCAGGGTTTTTTTCTTGTGATTCGCTTCTGGCCGGCTACTTGTGCCAGATCAGTTGTAGGGGGCGCCAGATGGGAGTTTGAAAGAACGGTATCCTGATGTGGGCCCTTGCATGAGTACTAAGATCCTGATCAAAAGGACCACTAAATGTGGCGTGCCCATTTCTTAAACCGTCAGATCTTTGTATCCAAGTCAGCGGCATTGTGTTGTGCCGACTCACTCTGAGAAGCAGGGTCGAAGCAGAACTCGGTGACAGGCGGTGTTGTTGCCGTCAGGTCCACCTCATGCCTGGTCGATGTCAAAAAAGTGTAAATGCAAGCGACTTACCATTCCAAGCCTGGGAAATGAGGCCCTGCCGGGAGTGTTGTGCCGACGCAACAAAGGAAAGTGATCTCGTTCATCTGCCATCCCACCCGGAGGTGTCATTGTCAATGCAAAATCGATGTGCAGAGACGGAAACTTTGTCCTCTAAGTTTCATCCTGTATTTTCGAATCCTACGTCAACAGTGAGGCATTTGTAGTTGCAACCCAGTGGACCCGGAATGCCGCCTCTGCTCCAGTTTCGACCTTTCTGACACGACAGGATGGGATGTGCGACCACAGCAGAAGTTCCAAAGGGCATAGACAACGTCCTGAATCCCACCAGCTCTTTGAATCGGAGTTCCATTGGCTACCAGTGTTGCGTACTTTCGGCAAGGCTGTCACAAGCGCTGTGACCGAAGTCTTGCATGATCCGAGCATCCTCGACGAAAGTGCGACATGTCTGCAATGTACTCGGATGAACACCCGATCTGGACATGCATGTGCAATCGAATCTGTGCAATCAGAGCTGGGCTGTGTTCAGGTCCTGATCACTGTTAACGAATGCAGCGTTGATGAATGGCGAGAAAAGAAGCGGATGTTGGTGAATGTCATGCAAGGTGGGCGCTATGTGCTGCATCGACCGGTGGAATTATTGAACAAACCTTAAACCCTAAACCCTAAACTGAGGAGTTGTTCATACTTGTTCATGCTGCGGCCTCCGAGGTGGGTACGCAGACGATGCGGGGGTCGATGTGGACGATATGCAAAATGTTGCCGAGGCTGTCTTGAAAGCTGCATGTCCCGATGTGGCGCCGGAAGCTGTGCAGCTTGACACTCCAGAAGCACGAGAGTTCCTCCAACGATTGGAAAACAGTTCGCAGAGGGCTCCTCAGCACTTCCAGTGCTCCGAAGATGCAAGGAAGTTCCTGGTAGATAGGGTCCATCTTGCGAGCTCTGACGACTGGGTGCAGTCGGTGCTGACGTCGAGAGTCCTTATCAGAGGTAACTTTCCGAATATTCCACAGGATTGCATCATGGTGGATCTCCCCGGGCTTGAGGACACCAACCTGTTGCGGTCTTCCGTGGCGGAAAGATATTTTGACCTCTACTGCAACCACGCCTGGTTCTGCCTGGCCAAGACCGAAAACAGGATCGGCAGCAATGCAGGTCTCTCACGGCAAATCCGTGCACTTGCACGTGGTGGGAATTTGGACAAGATCCTTCTGGTGAGGACCAGAGCGGATGAAGCCCCGAAGAAGGGAACTGAGAAGTTGGAGAGAGAGCACGAGGAGTTCAAGCGCCTTTGCCTCCAAGAGCTAAAGAAGCAAAGCTCTAGGGCCAGATCAGGTGGGGGTTTCCGAAATTTTGGGGTGCCTTATTCTGGGGTCCTTATAGTAAGGATCCTACTCCCTAAACCCTAAACCCTACTATGTAGGGTACTATATTAAGGTCCCCTATTTTCGGAAACTTCCAGGAGAAGGTGAGCCAGCTACTACTCGGAGACGGACAGGCCCGGACTCGGAAGTTGCCGGCGAGGCATCGGCATCCGCTTCCTCCTCTGCGCCGGCGGCGGCCATGTCCTTCGCTGGTTATGTCCAGGCCACAGCGGACCCAGGTTCGGAAGACAGACCAGCGGAAATCCAGATAGAAGCGGTCCTCGGCAAGCTTCAGCACATCGGAGCCCAACAGGTCGAAAAGCTGAAAAGCCTCGTCTGCAACATCTACGATGCTCTCCAATCCCTGGCCCGAGAGCGCTTTCAAGAAGAGCAGGAGCGCGAGGCCGAGCGGCAGGAGCGACAGCGCGAGATGGAGCGGGAGGAAGCCCGGCGTGCCGACGAGCGACGCAGGCAACACCTGGAAGAACTGCGCCAGGTAAGGGAGCGCAGAGCCCAAGAATTTCAGAGTCGCCGTGCAAACCTGGTGCTCAACTTCACACAAGCCCTACACGACTGCAAGCGCATGGTGCAGGCGGGACGTGCGTTATTTCGATGCCATGGTCCAGTTTTTGTCCGCGAAAGTCTGCACGCAGGAGTTTCGCGAGGAGATGGGGAGCTGCACTGGACTGACGGCAGTGGAGGCCGTTGTGCGCGAGCTGCAACGTGCAGCCCTCGGCATTCTGCATAGGACTGCCAAGGTTGCCTGGGGGAGACTTCCCGTAGCGAAAACTAGCCGGTGCATCTGCCCGCAGTGTTTTGTCGAGCCTGGGGCCCGCACAGTCAGGAATTTCACATGAGCCTCGTGAAAGCTTCGCACAGGCACAACCCAGAAGCTGAACCAGGAGCATGCACGCAGGAACGACCTGCCTGGGAACACTAACGTTAACTTTGACGAGCATAGAAACGCTGCCGACTGCGATGCGCAGTGTGACAGGAGAGTTTTCTGCAATTTTGAAGATGATGGCTCGTGGAACGGTCATTCTACAGGAACGCCGTGGGATCACCTTTTAACGTGAAAGCAAAGACAGTGTTGTGAGGTGCGAAGCCACCGAATGGGCAGACTCTTCGAGCGCTAATCTCCGCAGGGGGCATCTACACTTCGACATCGCGTGGCTCCTTTGACCTGGTGGAGACCTTCTGCGGAGCACTCACCATCCGAGGCACTGAGGATTTTCTGCTGGCCTGGGCCACAGTTGCCACACGGCTGGCCTTGGAAATATTGTTCAGCTCACCGCACTATATGTAGAAGACTGACAGTTGCGTGTTCATCTTGGCAGCACAGGTGGAGGATTCAGAAAGGAAGCTGCGAGGTGTCCCAAACCTGCCGGCGGCCTTCAATCAGGAACTCTCTCTGCGACTGACGGGCATTCGCCAGCAGATAAATGCAATGACCACAGCAGGCCGCACAAGTCGTTTCCTTGCCCCACAGTGTGCGTCGAGTTCACTGTAGACGCCGTATGCCTGAAGCTGCACGTTGAAAATTCCTGGCAGGTGGACCGATTCGAAGCATGTTGAGCAATGCGCTCGTGTGGTTCGGAGGCAAAGGTGCGAGTGACTTTGCGATCATGTCTGCAGACGATAAGTTGAAGAACTCTGTGAGACCAGCCCTTCGACGGATCTCCCACAGCCTTTGTTCCTCCTTGGAGAGCGTCTTAAATGGCCTTCATGGTGAGCTCTCTCGACACCTTTTGATGGGAGAGGCTCCCCCGTCTTCCCGGGTCGCTCCAGACCAGCCTACCTGCATTATTTGCCAGGATGCTCCAGCTGTGGGGCGAGCCAGCTTTGTCACTTGCTATTGTTCACCGCGACCACCGTATGCTTGTGCGCGCTGCATCCCTAGCATAGATCTGCAGTGCCGAGAATGTCCTATTTGTAGAGGAACACCGCCACGGTAGTTCGCAGCCGTGCGCTGCTGAGCCACTGACGGCAGTTCAACGAAGTCTGGATGTCGTTTCTGTGGGGCGGTGCGAAAGAGCACCATAATTGTCCACCGTTTGGGAACTTTAGCGGTTAAAAGGCTGCAGCTCCAACCTCCGCCTCAGACAAAGGTTTCTTGCTGCGCCTGTCGCTTTCACCTGTTCTGGGACGGGAGGCCATGCCCTCGACATCCTCACAGCGAAATTGGACGGATGTCCGCGTAAATCTTACGAAGGGTATGGCCCTCAAGGCTCTCTTCTGTTGTTTTCGGCTTTTTGATTTGGCATCAGAGCCAAGGTGCCCACGTCCTCCGCTGGCAGTATGCAAAGGACCGGGAAGCTCGTGGCCAACGAAAGCTTTTGAGAAGATGACTGGCAGCTTGGAGGTCTTCCGGAAATCTACCAAACATAATCGCTTCCGGAGTGATCCTGACAAGACATCTTCAGCTCTCGATCGGAAAAAGACTATCGGCCCCAACATGTAAGATGTGCATATTAATGCAGATGCATGAGTCAGTGTTTCTGTGGCCGATGGTTGAGCAATGCCACAGATGTTGTCGTGTGCAGGACTACAGTGGTTACACGGGCATGGACCGTGCACAACTGCAGCCCGGATCCCAAGCCATAGTTCAAAGCCATTGTGCAGCAGAGTGCTGTGCACGAATCGAAGAGACGTCCTGCACATGTCAAAGTCATTTTGCAGCAGAGTGCTGTGCACGAATCGATTTGAAGAGACATCCTGCGTTCTGATGTATGCTCCAAGGCTCGTGCAAGTGGTGGGAACGCAATACGCAGACTTGGAGTGCTTCCACTGCCACGGCATCGGGCACAGCATCGTAGCGAAGCCTTCCTCGGATGCGTGTTTGCTGGTAGACCACATGTGTCACATGGGAGTTTCCGAATTCAGGGGACCCTAATATAGGACCCTAAATAGTAGAATCCCTATTGTGAGGACCCCAAACAAGTACCCCTATTTTCGGAAGCTCCCAGATCGGACAAACGCTGCAACGCCCTTGCAGCAAGGATCTGGCATGCACAGCATCGGGGGCGCGGACCACTGCAATGCAGCTGGCTTATCTGTGCGGCTTTTGCGGGAAGTAAATGCCGTAGTTAATGCAGACCCCTGATTGGCAAGCCTGCCTCCTTAACCTTATAATTAAAAATTAAAACCCGATCCTAACATCCAAGGCCCCTCAAGAGAGGTGTACTAATCGGGGGTCTACAGTTTGCCCCGAATCGAAACAGTTGTGTCTCGTCCCTGTCGACCGGTCGGAGGCCTGCCTGCGGAACCAGTGCCCTCGTTGACATGCAGATAGCCAGAGAATCCAATATCCCTTATTGATTAGGAATACACCTTACTGTAAATCATGGTAGGATCCCTAATATGATTTAAAGCATATTTCGTAATGAAGGGATATTGGAGTCTCTGGGAGCTGGGTTTAGGGTTTAGGTGTCACACACTTTCTCGTTGCAGGTACCTGTCGGCAGGCAGATCCGCAAGCCTGGCCAGATGCCAGCCAGAGCACCTACAGGGGTTCTTTAAGGAAGTTATAGGGTTACAATAAGGGCATCATAAGGTTACTACTTGCAGACCTTTGCGCGGTGGCGTTGAATTGCTCGAAAGGCCATGCCCCGCCGGCAAGTGGTCGGTACCCGGCAGCGTATCTGCCGCCTCCTGTGTCACGGCCGAGAAGTGCACAAGCGAGTCTGTCAAGGCAGATCGTTTCCATTCGTCCCCTCCCAGGGCTTGGTAGAAGTCCCTAAGCCCTATAAATCCTAAACCCTAAACACGGTAGAAGTTGCCAGGTGGCGCTTTCACCTTGCCAGGGTGGCAGACAGCACCAAGTCAGGCGTGGAAGTTCTGCAGTTCGCAGATGCTCTTCATTGGACTTGGCCTCAACTGCAAGGAGCTGGATCCTGCCGGTGATTTGTGATGCTGGGCTCTCGTCTTGCGAATACATCAGCCTTTTGTGAACAGAAATTTCCGAGCCTCGGACAGTGGCCGCCCCGCCCCGCCGATGACTAACGGTCTCAGTCTATATCGGGCCACGATACATGTATTACGACTCCTTGCTTGCAGGTCATTAAGAGTGAAAGCTCCACCTCTTGGCATGCAAGCTGTGGAACCATGCTGGCTGAGAGATGGGTGTGTGCCGCTGGCTCTCTTCCAGTCGCAGCAAGTTGTTTGATAGAATTGCCAGCCACTCTCAGCACGGATTCACGAGATAACAGCATACCACAGTCATGTACCCTTTCGGTTGGCCTGCATGTTGCTAAACTATAATAGTCATGCTCCTTGCGCACACCGTCTTCGCTGTTGATTACGTGACAGAGCTTTCGTATCCGGCGAAAACTTGACAAACTTCAAGCGAGGGCAATCACGTTCCCTGCCACCACACGATGTATCAGATTGACCATCCGACAGGGGGCTGTGAGGGTGGATTTGTGTGGTACTTGCGCTTCATGCCCTAGAAGCACCCTAAACATTCCTAAATCCGAAGCTCGGAACCCTTGAACCCTAAACTCTGAAGCCACCTGGTAAGGTATTCCCTCTGGTGATGCAGTCGGAAAAGGGCTCGAAAAAAAAAAACCTCTGAAGCTCTTGCTTACTACTCTTGTCGCCAAGCAGCCGAGGTGAACGACTCCTCGGCTGCCGCTTTGCTCCAGGGAGCGGCTGGAGATCAGGTCCCGCAAGACCTCTCTCTCTTCCTCTCTCCCTATATTATGTATGTATATATATATATATATATACATATGTATATATGTATATATGCGTATGTCACGAAAGCTAGCTCTGTGGAGCTCGCGGGAGTTGCCCTTTAGCAATTCACTTGTATTAAGGCACTAGGGAAAAAACAGGGTTTGCACCTTATCAGGTGGGACGTCCAAGAGTTAAGGTGGGGGGTAGGGGGGGGGCCCCCCCCCTTCACCTTGTCATTATGCGTTTTCCACTGATAAGGTGCCCTCCCCCCCCCCTCCCCCCCCCTATCATGAGGTCCCCCCCCCCCCCCCTCCTCAAGGTCCCTTGGTTTTGTTTGTGTCTGACGTTCGGCGACTGAAGTGCGGTCTTCTCTCCAGAGTTACCTCTAGTTGTCGTTCGCACATTACTTTCTCAAGAGTTAAATGAACGAGCAACGCCTGCACCCTTCACCGGCCCAAACTTTCCCTCCGCTACTGTCGTGCACATCGCTTTGCAGAGCTCAGCACCGGACCTCGTGCTTCTAGCTTTCGTGACCAGCTCTCAAGTGCATGCATACACACGCAAAGCTTAGTGAGGGCTGTCTTGTGAATATTGGGGAACTTGGGCCACTAAATACATTGTTTGTTTATTATGGGGATGCTTGCAAAACAAACTTTGCTTTGTGTATTGCTGAAAAAACTGTACCATGAGCCTTCCTTGCACATCCAATTGGGCTCCGGAGAGAGCCGAGGTCTGTGAAGATGCGGCAAGTCCTGTCAAGACGCAGACATTTTGCTGTCAGGAGTGTGTCCCTTGCGAGCCCAACACCTGGCGGCCAAGCAACGCCGCATGCGTGCCCGGCTCTTACAGCTTGCACACAAGGTTTTAGGTTTAGGGCATCCCGTGTGCGCTTTTAAGCAGCTTTGCGTTTGGTCTAAGCCTGTCTAAGCATTGCCGAGGCCTAAGACAATCTCCTGCCCAGCGGGCCACTATGCAGCCCAGCACTTACATAGCCCTATCATCGTGGTGCCTTGGGCTGACGCAATCTTATATGAATGCATGACCAGTTTTACGCGAAAGATGTTGGAGCAGGTCACTGAACTCGTCCTGAGTCGATGGGCGGAGTGGCCGAAGAACCTGTCCCAGGAGGCAAGTTGAACAAAGCTCTAAATAGGATGTATGTATGTATGTATGTATGTATGTGTGTCTGTATGTATGCACCCACCAATGACCTAACGTCCTCTTTGATCTAGGGTAAAAAGCGAATCCATAAATTCACATAGTTTGCGTACATATATCATATTATACTATTATATATATATATATATAGATGTACAGACACACATCATTGTTTTTTGTTTCGTAACACGGGTGCCGGAGAGCCAGCTCAGATGCCGGCAGGTCATCGGCCCGCATGAGGAAGTGGCGGGCATCGTCAAAGCCTCAAGTTCTTGGCTCCTGCAACTGAAAGTAGGGTTTGCCCATTGGCCCCATAGTAGTTCGTTTTGGGGATTCATATTTAAAATCCTATAAGGTAATCCCAAAAAGGAACTATCATGGGGCCTAGGGGTTTAGGGCTTACGAGCACGATGCTGCTTAATCTCGGACAATGCCAGGCCAAGGCCCTCACGTTTAGCTGAGGGTTTGTAGACATGCTGCGGAGTTTTTGTGAACATATCTGTAGAGGACAACTGCATGCATGTAGGCAAGCATCGACATACATATGTGTGCACGTCACCTACAAGCGGAGGAACATGTCAGGTGTGTTTGTATGGATGGATGGAAAGAAGGCGAATCACTGATGGATGGATGGGTGGACACACTCCCAAGCGAGGTTAGTTCACAAAGGGATAACTTCGGCCAGAAACGTTAAATTTGCAAATCCAGTTGGCTCCACTACTAGACAGAACACAGTCGGCGGCATCCTTGATCTCGCTGTTGTACTTCGCTTCTTGGCCCATGCAGCCCATGCAGCCTTGCATTGATGGAGAGGGTTTCGAATTCTTCAGCTCGCGATCCCTAAACCCCTAAACTCTAAACCCTAAACCCCAAAAATCTTGCACCCAAAAGAGGCTACTCGGATCTGCAGGCCGACGTCCCGGGCGGTTGGGCGCTGAACAACGGCAGCCTTCACATGACCTCGGGAGTTGGCGGTAGTCCTCTGGCTCAGACAACGGGTCTCTCGGGGGCCTCAAAAGATAGGATGAAGGTAGGTGGGATATTCCCAAATAATAGTCCTTATATAAGGGATCCTTAATCCCACCTACCTTCATCCCACCTTGTCAGGTTTCCGGGTCTCATGGCTTTAAGGGTTCAGGGCTTTAGGGTTCTTAGGAATTTGGGGTTATAGGGTTCTTCGTAATTTAGGGTTACAGGGTTATACGGTCTTAGGGCTTCAAGGGTTTAGAGCTTTAGGGCTTAGGACCTTTAGGGCTTACCTTAACCCCGAAGAGCCTACTTTTTTAAGGGTTTACATATAGAAAATCATAATAAGGAGCCTTAAGCAGGTTAAGGCTAAGGTAGGGTTTAAGGTTTTGGGCTAAGGACCTTTGGCGGCTTAAGGCTCAGGGTTCTGGGGTAGTTCAGGGTTTGGGAGTGTGGTTGGAGAGCCAGCCGAATGGGTGTGCAGTTGAAGCGAGATTGAGATTGCCAAGAAAGTTGCGAAACTCGCTCGGAATGATCCCTGCGTCCGACAAGGGGTATTCAAAGTATTCCTGAACGTCATTGCGGTTTGCGTTACTCTGGTTGATGCTGGTTTTAGAGGTCGTGAAACAAGCTGTCCAGAGTCCAGAGAGGGAAGATTTCACGGGGTTATGAGATGGGAGTTTCCGAAAATTAGGGGTACCTTTGGGGGTCCTTATTATACGGATCCTACTATTTTGGGTACTATATTTGGGTCCCCTATTTTCGGAAACCCCCACATTGGGATGCAAAGCGAAACCAAGATGCTTGGACTGTTGGCTGCTGTCGAGTGTTTGCGTTTGATACATCTGTTGGTTGGCGTCGACAAGCTTGGTTTAGAGGCTAGGGTTTAGGGAGCTTGGTTTTCGATGCGACGAGTCGATGCCCGCCCTTCCTTGCTCAGTCCACATCACGGACAAGCTCGAAGCGAGATTGCACTTGGACGTTCAGGTGACATTGTCGTGGGCACCCTAAGCTGGCAACAGCCAATCATGTGCCCACTTGGAGGATCATGGGACTTAGTAAGTAGGGTTATAAGTACCTTAATTGGGGTTATAAGTAATAATAACTGTAGTTACTTTACTTATAACCCTACTTACTAAGTCCCATGATCCTTTAAGCACCGGAACAGAGGTGGTCCAGTGCACTGGTCCGAGGCCTGGTCGAGTGAACTACACCATCGAGCTCCCGAGCGCTGACATGCCGGGATCTTAAACTTACCTTTGGTTAGTAGGGAATGGAAGAATGGGGTACAATTATTACTATTATTGTTACTACTACCACTACCACTACCACTACCACTACCACTACCACTACCACTACCACTGCCACTACTACTACTACTACAACAACAACTACTACTACTACTACTACCACTCTTCCATTCCCTGCTAACCAAAGGTAAGTAAAGCGCTACACGCCCAGGATGATGAGTCCTCTGCGACCAGACAGGTGGGCAGACATGAGATTCCTGGTGGATGGCGTGATCAGCTCTAACATCCCCGGCTTTCATGTGGAACGGCTCGGGGCTTACCCAGGAATTCCGTTTGCAGAGAGTCTGTCAGAACCGTCGAAACCTGCTCTTGTCGTCGAGGTTTACCATGAGGGCGGAGCATGTGACCCGCTTCCAGGTGCCCTTCATCGAGCCTCGCTGTAAGCCCCAAGCACCGAAAACCCTAACCCTTAGACCCCCTAAACCCTAAAAGCCCTTCTGAGTCAAAGGAGCCGTGCATTAAAACACAAAAAGCTCTGGAGCCCCTACTACCCAGCGTTCGGCGGTATACGAGGTCACCGGGCCACTCTGGCCTGGGCGGCATCGCCTCACGTGGAGTTGCCTGGAGCCTGGACAGAACCATATAATAGTTATAATAGCAATATAGTAGAACTAATAGTAATAATAATTATTATCGTAATCGTTTGGGGTGCAGGGTTAAGGACTTTGGGTCTAAGGCTTCTGGTTTACAGGGTGTGAGGGTTTTAGGGTCTAGGCTGTTAGGAGTATGGGTTGAGGGTGTTGGGGCTAAACATCACCACGATGTTTAGGCCTTGGGGCATTTAGGCTTGCAAAAATCATGGGGCATCGTCGCGATCATAATTTAATAAGGCTAATAAGGCTATTAGAAATAGTAACAGTAGTAATAGTAATCAGCATAACAACAATGATCGTGTAATAACAGTATGACATGGAATAACAGCAGAAATCTCGGCTGAGCCGTTTGAGGTAGCCACTCGCTGCTGGGAGCTGCGGGGAGCCCAGAGTGAAATTGATGAAAGCGATCATCTGATCGGTGATGACCCCCCACCTGGAGGATCATGGGACTTAGTAAGTCGGGTTATAAGTATCTCAATTGGGGTAAAAGGTAACAATAACTGTAATTACTTTACTAATAACTTTGTAACCCTACTTACGTGTGGGTGATCAGACCGTTGAGCGTGAGGGGCTGCAGGAAATGTTCTTAGCATTGAGATAGGGGTTTCCGAAAATAGGGGACCCTCATATAGCACATTAGATACTAGGATCCTTTCTAGAACGACCCCAAAATAAGGTACCCCTTGGTATCGGAAACTCTCAAAGTGGCGGACGGAAGGGTGCATCGAGTGTCCGGTCTGTGCACAAGTTCCTGGCCAGGATTTGCGGCGGGTGCGCCTGCTTCGTGTGGCCGTGCAGGGAGCTGCAGATGCAGGCCGCGAATCGGCAACCGGCACTGTCGGAGTGCTCGTTGTTCTCACGAGGATGTGCTGTAGTAAATTGCGCGTTGTTTTCAAGACCTTCTGTATCAAGGGTTGCCAAATGGAACCTATTGTCGCACTTGGAGACCATGACTTGCGACGAGGTGCATCTGAATGTGCCCCTTGCCCAGCAGGACAGGAGGCTTGTCGAGGGCACCGACCTCAAACATGTACCAGTTGCCAGTATGGAAGCAGGTGTCGCCGAATGGAGCTAGCTGCCGCAGCTGTCCTCCTGGGCATTTCCTTACGAAGGCCGGCACCATACGCAATGTTGCCTTAATAGACATATGTGGGAGCTACAGCAAGCTGCGGACTGGCTGTCTGACATACCAATCCGGCTGCAGGTGGCTTCCAGCACTCGCTGCACTGCATGTCGTCCAGGTCTAGCATCCTCCCGGGTTTGTAGAGGGTTTATAGGTCTTATATGGTCTTATAGGGGTTAGAGTGCCGGAAGAGATCCATTCAATCAGACACTCGCTGCCCACGAGAGTGCAGCAGCTTCCTAATTTGCCAGCGATGCTCCCCATGCTTCACTGTGATCGAGTGCAAACTCCACGCGAAGGAAAATTCAGCGACACATGGGCCGCCACGGACTGTCGCTTTTGTGGACCAGGCAATCGCACATGCATTGGCGAAGAGTCGTCTTCATGAGGCTTGTGCCACTGGCAGGCACCACCGCTGGTGTGGGCGCAATCACTTGCGATCCCCAGCCCATCCTGCTGACGCGCGACTTTGCGGCAGCAGCAAAGGCAAGGGCCTCTGAGGCACTGCATCCGGACCGTCATAATAGTAATCATAGCAACAATAATAGTGTAGTAGCAGTAATTAAAGACAGCAATGATAATATAATATACTGAAAAGAATACTAAGGATAATAACAGTAATTGTAATAGTACTTACTATGACTATTATCGAATTTTAATAATGCTGGATCTCTCTTTTTGCCAGGTCCTAACGCCTGGAGAAGTCCAGAACTCGGGCCTCGGAGTGCGTTGCATGCGGCCGTGGCCTCGATGCCCAGGTCGTCATCAACGTCACTTCTGCGATTCAGCCAGGAGACTCAGGAGTTTCAGAAGAAGACTGCTACTGCTACTGCTACTACTACTACTACTACTACTACTACTACTACTACTACTGCTACTGCTACTACTGCTACTACTACTACTACTACTACTACTACTACTGCTACTGCTACTACTGCTACTACTACTACTACTACTACTACTACTACTACTGCTACTGCTACTACTGCTACTACTACTACTACTACTACTACTACTACTACTACTACTACTACTACTACTACTACTACTACTACTACTACTACTACTACTACTACTAACTACTACTACTACTACTACTACTACTACTACTACTACTACTACTACTACTACTACTACTACTACCACTACCACTACCACTACCACTACCACTACCACTACCCTACTACTACTACTACCACTACCACTACCACTACCACTACCACTACCACTACCACTACCACTACCACTAAACTACGACTACGTACTAGTACTACTACTACTACTTACTACTACCTACTTACTACTACTACTACTACTACTACTACTACTACTACTACTCCTACTACTCCTACTCCTACTACTACTACTACTACTACTACTACTACTACTACTACTACTACTACTACTACTACTACTACTACTACTACTACTACTACTACTACTACTACTACTACTACTACTACTACTACTACTACTACTACTACTACTATACTACTACTACTACTACTACTACTACTACTACTACTACTACTACTACTACTACTACTACTACTACTACTACTACTACTATACTACTACTACTGCTACTACTACTACTACTGCTACTACTACTACTACTACTACTACCTACTACTACTACTACTACTACTACTACTACTACTACTACTACTACTACTACTACTACCACTACTACTACTACTACTACCACTACCACTACTACTACTGGTACTAGTACTAGTAACTAACTTTACTATACTAGTACCACTAGTACGAGTACTAGTACTACTAAGTACTACTACTACTACTACTGCTACTGCTACTGCTACTGCTACTACTACTACTACTACTACTACCACTACTACTACTTCTACTGCTACTGCTACTACTACTACTACTACTACTACTACTCCTACTTCTATTACTACTACTCCTGCTGCTACTGCCACTCCTACTGCTACTACCACTACCACTACCACTACCACGACCACTACCACGAACACGACCACGACCACGACCACGACCACTACGACTACGACTACGACTACGACGACGACGACGACGACTATTACTACTACTATTACTATTACTACTGCTACTACTACTACTACTGCTACTACTACTACTACGACTACTACTACTACTACTACTACTACTACTACTACTACTACTACTACTACTACTACTACTACTACTACTTCTAGTACTACTACTCCTACTCCTACTGCTACTGCCACTGCTACTGCTACCACTACCACTACCACTACTACCACTACCACTACTACTACTACTACTACTACTACTACTACTACTACTACTACTACTACTACTACTACTACTACTACGAACGGTTAGGATCAGTTTGGTATTAAGTTTTGGTAAAAGTCAGTATTACCAACACTTCATACTAAAACTTGTCATCATAATCATCTTAATAGAACAGTAATAGCAGCTGTCTCTTTGTGGCGCCACGCGGAGTTCTAGAGGCGGTGGCGAGCGGCCACAGAGGGCGTGACTGGACCGCTGCTGGTGGGTGGCCGGAAGTTCTACATCAGCCTGATGAGGTGCCAAGATCCGATGTCCAGTCAGTGACGACCTCTATAGAAGCAGAGCCCTAGAAGCGGTGTGTTGGCATTTTGCTACTTCCGTTCCAGCATCCACATTCAGACTGCGATCCTTCGCTTGGCCTGTTTTTCGTTGAGTGCTCAGACCGGCACCACCGCCCGGCGACGAGGGTGGCATGGCGTACGTTTGGGAGCAGGTGTCCAGACAGGAGCAACAGCGGGTGCTGTGAATTGAATAGGCTCGGAGGTTTTTCTGGGGTCCTTCTAGACTCGAGGACTGTGCTCCGGCGGACCACGGGGGCTCCAGCGCGGGGAGCCCAGGGCTAGAAGTCGAAAGTTGAGCCTTCGGGTGCTTTGGAGGTCGGGGGTGGGGCGGCCTCCAGCCTCACGGCTGCGGCGCCTCCTCCTACTGTGGTACCCCTTGGCGTCGCATTAGCCAAAGTGGAGGCAGGCCAGAAGAAGAGCTCCAAAGCATGCAAGAAAGTTCATCTTCATCTTCAGGCAGTGGCTCTAGGAAGCATGCGGGGAGTACGCTTCACATGGAAGAAGGACGGGCCCCGGAAATAGTGCGTAGCATAGCTGCAATGGACAGTCTCTTGCAGCCGTTGCTTTTCTGTTCCCTTCCAGGAGGCGAGCTTGCAGCTTCAACCAAAAATGGCTGTGCTGTGCCCGGATGCGGCAACCACGTCGGCCGAGGTTGGGAGCAATGCGAGACGGCAACATAACATACATAACACCTGCGGAAACGACTATCTGCGAGGCATTGTCAGGATTTTCGCTCCTTCTTCGTTGCGACACGGCAGCGCGAATGCCTGAGCCACCGGCTCGGAGCGATGCGGCAGGTCGGAAGGGGTGAAAGCCTCATAAGGAATCAGATTCTTCATGGGTTCTGCGCAGGAAATGCACACCTGGAACACCTACGACTTGCAGGCCGGGTGAGAGCCCAAAACAGGAGTTGCAGGTGCCCCAAAGCCTCCCAAATTCTTGGAGTTCAGAGCAGCCTGCGTAACGCCTTGCCACCACAGAACGGCCCATCGGCGCCTTTGAGCCCTATGCGGTTTGTGGGATGCTGGAGTTGCAGTGGTGGGGGCCCTTGGAGGGAGCTGTGGAGAGTTCAAGAGAGCTTGGCAGCACAGAGGCCCACCGTCATGGCATGCCCGCCCTGCCAAGCGCAAGACTTCGCCAGGGCCCTAAGCCCCAAATAAAAGAAATCGAAACCCAGGGATTGGAAAGATGTGCATCTTCGCATCAGGGAGCTCAGCTCGGCAAGTGTGACGAAGAGCAGATGCGTTACGTCACCTTCAAGCTGATGAGGCGCTGCAGACTCTGCCTTTGATACCATGTCGAGCTGCTGGAGTGTGACCTGTGCGCTGTGTCTGACTGTGTCTTTCCAGGCCTTGCATCGGAGGGATGACGGCACCACCGGGCTACAAGGAGTTGGCCTTATGCCCGTGCTTAGCTTTTGGAAGACCCCGAAACAATATCCTACACCTCAAATGTTGTACCGATGCCTACGCGCGATCGCACAAAGTCCCTTGAGCAGAGGAGAGCTGCGATGGGGATGATATCAAAAGCATCGCCAAGCACGTGGGCAAGGCTGGGTGGAGCTTTTTGCTTAGCAGCAACACTATTGTCTCGAAAAGAGCGCTCAGGTGGTCAAAGAGCAGTATCCCTTGCGAGCCACCCTAGTTTCCGTTGTCCGGGCCGAAGATTCTCTCTGTCTCTCTCTCTCTCTCTTTCTCTTTCTCTCTCTCTTTGTATACATGTAATAGAATACAATAATATATATATATAATTAATATATACATATATACATATATATATATCTCTCTCTCTCTCTCTCTCCCTCTCCCTCTCCCTCTCCCTCACTAACTCTGTCTTGACTTTTCAACAAACGCCGAGGCCGCGGTTCTTTTGGGCTGCACTCTCATTTGCTATGCGACGCACCTTCACAGGACCCTGGCAATTCGGGCAAAAACTGCGAGTTTGGCCATGGGTAGCTGTCAAAATCATGGTCCCTGTTTCAAACCATATATATATATATAATTACATAATTCCATGGTGATACAGCACCTATAGCCTAGGAACCCAAAAGAACCCCTAACTTGCACAACCGCACGCATGAAGAAGTCTGCAGGAGCTACCGTCAGCGATTTCTGCAGGATGGACTTTGAGAGCCTGTCCAGGAGCCTAGCGTTCAATGCTGTTCTGCAAAAGAACCACCAGAACAGGTTCGCTTCATTACACGAGACAGGCAAAGTGCACACTAAGCACAAACAAGCAGTATGTTCCAGATGTCCCTTAGGTGTGCGGCACTGAGTGTCGAAAATCTCGCCAGTTGGGTTTGGAGCAAGGCTGCGATGCATGATCACGGCAGAGATATGGTCTGTATCTCCGCCAGCCGATCTTGGCTTGGGCGCCTGTAAGACGGCAAACCGCCTGCACTCAGAGCGTTTGTTTCGCTGTTCCAATCAGCCAGCACCCGTTCCTTCACTACTTTCACCAATACTACAGCTGTCGATTCTTCATCTCATGCTTCATCTCATGATGATTCGTAAGTCGCTAAACACGGCACAAGCAGCCGAGTTTCTTCACCCGGTGCCATGGGTTGTGCGATTTCTCTGCTGACTTTGGTACTAATTGCCTCGGGCGAGCTCGAGCCAGAGCCCCGAAGGGGCAAGGCAGGCAAGAGCAGAGCAGACCTTTCTGCGCCTTCCAAGGCAGGGTGACGGGAAAGAGCACCCCTGATTATCAACATCAAAGCCTGAGGAAAACCCTCACATGTGACAGGACATCATAACTAACAACATCTGCAGCCTTTTTTGCACTTCGTCATGACCTGTTTGCGTGGATGGGCAGGGTTGCACAAGGTAACGGCATAATCTGGTATTCTGCAGTAGCGGAGGGCTCTCACTGCACTGGTTTCTCAAGCAACTGAACCTGCACAGCTCTCTCGAAAGGATTGGGCTCAATGATAGGAAGATGCTGAACAAAGCTCCCAAGAGCTCGAAGGTAACAAGGCTCTGCTGCGAACCTTTTCTCGTACGCCTATGGCTCACGTCAGTCGAACCTCAAGAAAGGGGCCCCTTGCTGCAAGCAAACGTGGCGATCAAGAGACAACTGCACAACACGCAGAATCACATGTTACCCAGCATGAAAGATACATGTTGCACCAGTCCAAAAACTTTCTTGGCTCTTGACGCCTGTGTTGCTTTGCGAAGTTGACTCACAGCATCTAGGCCCTGTTGTTTGGCCTTCTTGGCCGAAACAGTGAAGTTCGGATTGAACCTAAGCATCCAAATACCGTTACGTAGGAACTGTACAAAGCTTTTACGGCATTCTGAGGATCGCTTGGTCAAGGCGTCTGACAAATTGAAATCACTGGCAAGCCAGATGAGACGTGTCTTCACTCGTCTCATCCCTTCCTTGAGTTGGTGACCCTGTATGGCTGCTCTGGCATTCGACAGCCCAAGATCAGGCCCTTCATGCCGCATCACAGCATCATAGCCACCCTTGGAATCGGTTCCAAGGATTCCCGGAACAGCAGAAGCTGCACGCTCAGCAGCCTTTAAGAAGTTGAAGCCCTTATCGACGGTAGCGCTGTTGAGCTCCGCCCACGTCAAACGTGTCTTGAAATTGACGTCCTCTGCTTCAACCATGGCTTGCACTTCAGCGTCCGTAGAGCCTATCGCGACTCTCTGCAGCTTCCAAGTTTTCCATCCCAGAAGCACTAGCTGTGATGGCTCACCTCGCGCATGAGCCGGACCACCGAGGAAGGTGAGAATGCCACCTGTAGACCCCCCTTTGGGCCTGTTCGCATGAGCCTGGTCACCGAGAGTGATCACATGTACATCTTGCCAGTGCTTCACATCTGGCAGCGGCCTGAACATCAGTCTTTGAGGGCTGGCACGGACCTCAACAATCAAGCCTTGGATCTCCCGGGCTAAGCTGAACTTGGGTCCGTGTGAAAGATCCGAGAGGATGAGGTTGCATCTGGCACAAATCAGCGGCTGCGATTGCACTGCTGCCCACTGCAGAGCCCCGAGTGCTGCACGACATGCAGACACTTCTCGATCATCTAGTGGGCTCTCAGGATCTCGTCCAGACTGTGCCGCCAGCTCGAAGTCCTGGATCCCCTCGATGTACTGATCCTGGTTCACCTCGATGGAGTAGCCGCCCTCATGTGACCTTCTGGAGATCACATCCGTGCCGGCATGACGGTAGTTATCCTTCTTGATCGTGCCCCACTTGTAGGCCTTGTCAATTTCGGCTCGGATGGCGAGCCACTTGGGGTTCTGAAGGTCACCGGCCCGATTGAAATCGTCCACGTGGCCACCCATCATGCCGATGGTCCTATAGCGGTCCATCGCGTTCCTCGGATTCTCCACTGGCTCCGACCATATCCACATGCAAGGGTCGGACATGATCTTTGTAGCGCCGAGCTCCGTGAACTTGGCATGTAGATCTTGCCAAAGACCTCGAGGCGCCGTAGTCGAGCCATAGAAGTCCTTTAGCACGCGCATCAGCTGGTCGTCGCCAATGCCCAGAGCTTCACGAAGCTCTGCCACACCTTGTGTCCAGATGCGCATGTCTTCTTTAGGAGCTGTTTGCAGGAAGGCTGTTGACAGGTCCAAACCCTCAAGCTGCCATCCGTTGGTCACGGTCAGCATGTAGGCAAGGTTCCTCGTGAGAACGGATTGCACGGGGGCACTGGAATTGAACCCCTCTCTCAACAAGTCCGGATGCTGGTATCCGAGCAGCACGATCCGGGCCTTGGCCTTTTTGATGCCATGAGGGTCCACCGTAGTGTGTGGATTATCACGTGCATCTGCTCGGGCCTCCTGCTCCTCCTCTGCTGGTATCGCCTTCCAGGTGAGCACCCAACGGCAGCGCATTATCCTGCCGCTGTCTCTGGCCTCCTTCTCCTCCGCCAAGTCAAGACACTTTCGAACCGCAGCCTGCTGGATGAAGCTGGTCACCTCCTTGGTCTTCGCTCGGGAGAACAAGGTGCGATGGTGGGGTGAGAGTTTCTCCCAACGGACTTCACAATCGCGCATCTTCCCCACCAGATACGCTGAAGGTGACCTTACGAACTTCTTGAGTTGGCGGTGTGACGCCAGATTGAGGTCAAACTCCATCACATAGGCATGCTCGCTCTCCTGAAGGGCCGTGTGTAGCGTCAGCTCATCCTCAGTCTCGCTGGCTCTCGGCTTCTTTGTTGAGGAGGACTCCGCACCCGGTGGAGCGTCACGCTTCTCACCAGTGCCAGGCATCTCCGGGTCCGAGCTGAAGTCGTAGTTGCCGAAGTCCGTGCCGAGGCCAGCATCTGGCCCATCATCGCATTCGCTGGGCTCGTAGTCCAAACAGTCATCTGGGACCCCGTAGTCATTGACCGGTGGTGGTGGTGGCGCAGGTTGAGGAAGTTGTGCATCAGGTGGAGCTTGCTTCCACTTGAGACGCTTCGATGGCACCCAGGTCTCAGAATCAGGAGCTCGAGGTAGATCAGGATCGCCGTCTTCAGGAAGATCGCCAGGAGGAGGTTGTCCACTCAAGTCGGTGTACTCCTTGGTCGGGATGATGTCTTTCAGAGTCTTCCAGCGGCTAGGATCCTCGTCCACCTGAAGATGGTGCCATGCTCGTTCCTGTTCCGTCACCGGACGGACTGAATGCGCCGAGCATCGGTAGAGCTTGCCGCCGATGACCACCCAGATGATGTGGCGGCGTGGGTCATCCTCCGCCTGATGTGGGATTGTCTCCTGCAGCACCACACGTCCTGGACCAATCCAGTGATGACGTCCCGCTTTCTTAGTGCCTCCAGCTCGTCCTCGATGAAGTTCTTGTGGTAGAGCACGCCTCCAAACCTTTACAAGATCCACAGGATGAAATGTGCGTAGAGGTTGTCGTTGAATCGTGTTCTTGAGTTTTGAGAGGACACGTTGAGCTCGCACCTCGCGGGCCTTGTTTTCTGCCTCGTGACGTAGAGATAGAAGTCGGGTGAACTCGGCAAAGGGTGCATCATCTCTCACCTGGGACATGGTGATCTCATCTTCGTCGGTATAGGAGAAATGCTTTCCATAGGCCCATTGGTAAGACGAGTACCCCTTGACAAAGGATGTCTGATTGAGGGCACCCGTTGCTAAGGCCAAACAAGTCTCCGGCAGAAGACTGGCGTCGCCGGTCTGAATGCGCTCCATCACCGCCTTCACATCCTGAACGACAGACTCGGCCAACCCATGTGCCCAGGCCTCCGCTTCCGCGGGTGGTGCCAACCAAATGTTCACACTCGAGCAGAAGTCTTGAAAGTGTTTTGACGTGTAAGACCTCGCATTGTCCGGGATGAAGATCTCGGGCTTGGGCTTATCACTCAACCAGCGCTTGGAGAAAGCTTCCACCAGTTGCAAACCAGTCTCTGTCTTCATCTCGGAAATCTCACACCGGAACAAAGGCTCAGCCACACGAAGTTTAGTGGCCGCGTCCACAAAGACAACAAACTTCAGCTTGCACTTATGTGGTATGCTGGTCCACTCACCCACATCTGAAACCACCTGTTGCCAAGCCACTGGAATCGGCCTAGTCGACAAAGGGGGCACCTGCTTGGATGACATACCTCCCGGAACGGCCGACTCGCAGTGTGGGCAGCTGAACTTGGCTGCCGCCTCCACCATCCACTTGGGTTTGCCGGCCTCCTTGATGATCCGAGACAACTGGCTGTTGGAGGGATGTCCGGCCGCCGTGTGGAACCGACGGAGTTTTCGATCCCAGGCCTTGCGCTCCTCGTCCGTAGGTCCATCCTTCGCACCCTCGTCCACGGCTGCCGGCTCTTCATCCTCAGGCTCATAGTTGTCCTCTGCCTCCTCGCCGGCAAAGTTGTAGAGCACGCTCTTGGCGCCAAAATGGCGCAAAGGAAACAAATGATCCTTCCAAGCTTTGGCAACAGAACTCACAAACCGCCAAGGATAATCCAGGCGACCGTGGCTTTCCATCACCGGCACCGGTATGTGCTTGTGCTCCTGGACACAGACCTTAGTCTTGAAGAGGGAGTGGAACTTGGGGCACGTCGTCCTGATGGTCCATCGCTTTTTCACAAAGGGCCCGTTGTTGTCAAGGCGCAAGCCGTACCGGCAACCATCAACACGACACTGAAGCCAATCCCTATTGCGCAACCAGACTGCTTTCTCAAGTTGTTGCATGACCGGCTCCTTCCAACCAAGGCTCTCAGCAGGCCATTCCCAGAAGATCTCCAACAGGGAGTTGCGCCGTAGAGCCCAAATCAAGAAGTCGACCATGCGCTTCAGCATGGTCCTTTCATGCCTCCGCCGGCTCTCCAAAGTCTGGCGGTCCTGCCAGGTCAAGTGGTTGAGATGGCTCCAAGGTAGCCACCGATCGCTCCGAGGAGTGAGCCGAATGCGGCGGGGCTTGTGGTAGTCAAACAACTGCCTCAGGTTGTCGTAGGTCTCCGCCTTGTACAGATCTAACCCGTTCACATGGTTGACCCTGAAAGACTGCAGGCCCTCGGCAAGGCATGCGGTGGTCAACATAGACGAAGTACTGCAACCAATCTCCCAAACACTATGCTGGCCGGTTGGCGTGATGAGGTTCTGAAGCTCGTTCCGGTAGAGATTGGTAAGCACCGTCGCCATGAGCATGATGCCCTTTGCCACCCGCTTGGGCATCATTGTGCCGCCGGTGACCCGGTCACCGACCAACTTGTCATCGACGAGCTCGGTGATGGCCTCCCGGGTGGTCCGTCCTCCATCTCCACCAGATTCGGATTCAGAAGCTCCGGCGGGGTCGCATTCTCCTCCAGGTAGCCCTTGGTCTTGTGGGTCGTGGCAGCCAGAGGCGCCGTGCCCTCGATCACCGCCTTGGGTGGCACTGTCGCCACCGCTCGCTTCTTGTCGAACTTCTGGATCAACTGGTGGTAGCGGTTCTTTGCATACTCCATCTCGATGGCCACACGCACCATCTCGGCATCCGGCTGCACATCCCCAATGTCTTCGTACAGCTTGGAAAGCGCTCGCCTCACCGTGGGGAAGTTTTCCGTCTTGGAGTCGGATCCGGGGGCGCCTTCTCTGGGCGTGTAGGAAAGTCTGTACGAACAAACCGCGCAAGACTTCCATTGGGCGAACTTGTTGTTGCCGATCGCCACCTCGGGATGGCTTCCGTAACATGGCCACTGCGTCCGCAAGGCACGGGGATCTCGAGGATCCGCTTCTACCATGCGCGACGGGTCGAGCACCGGAAGTGAGCTGCTCTTGGTCTTGGGAGCCATGGTTGATCGCGGGGGCGAAGTTGTCGATCTGAGGAGAGGGTCTAGTCTGCCCGCTCATCCTCGAGCTGGAGAAAGCTTCCGCCGAGGAGGTTTTACAAGTGTGTCGCTTCAACATCTGCTGCATGAAGGTGCGCCGCAACTCAGGATTCATGTTCTCAGCACCAGCCAAAGTCAACACATTCTCCTCTAGCACAAGTGGAAACATGAACTGCAAGGGCAAATCCTCGTCTGTACCCGGCACCGGCACATGATCTGCGGAACGAGAACCACTACCAGAAAGAGACACCGGTTGCTTTACCACCACAGCACAATTCCCCTTCTTGCAGACCTGGCCTCCAGTGAGGTACTGGACAATGTCGAGCACGAAGTGGCCTTTGGAGTTGGAGGTCAGGTACTGAGGATCATCGGGAGGACGCTGTCGCAACTTAGATATATCTGCTGCATTCAAGTAGGAACCGTCATTAAAGTCAATGATCATCCCAGCTCCACCGCTTCCAATGTGGCTCATACCTACCAAAATGGGTACCAACATGTGTGGCCTAAACCAGGGCTCCACAAACTCAGGCGGGTTTGGTAGGGCATACACCTCGAACTGCAGTTGCTGACCACTCACACGAGACATCAAAGTGACATGAAACTGTGCCCTGCCCCACGCCCCAGACCCATAGCGAAAGTATGGCCGACGGGATTGATCGATGGTGATCGTCGCCTGGGAGTCCTGCTCAATGACTGCTGCAATGAGCCTCTGAACACTGGCCTCCGGACCTGCAGAGGCTGTTGCCCCACAGTCCAAAAGACCGGAGGAAGGAGGAATAGCGTCCCTCTCCGAGGACACATGATAGTTCTGCCCGGTAGCCCCTTCAGAGCCAAGCATCTCCAAGCCATATGCATTCACGCCCGGGTAGGTTTTGGGATGCTTGCCGCCCTTGCCCTTGAAGATCGGTCCCTTATTCATGCCGAAGTGGCTCTTCGATTTGCCTTTCTTCTTGCCCTTGCCACCCACAAAGTAGATCGCATCATAGCCGGCCGGCTCGTACTCATAGTCCGCCATCATTGCACCCTTGGGCCGGCCCTTTCCAGGACCTTTGCAGTCGCGGGCAAAGTGACCATAGGAGCCGCACTTGTGGCACTGATCAGTGCTCATTGCGGCCCGAAAGGCTGAAGCTCCTGCCGCGCCAAACCCACGATCCTTTCTCACAGCCGCTGTGGCCTGTTGGGCCCTTTTCCAGGTCATCGCAGCCTCTGCCGCCATGACTTCGGCCGCCCTTTCTGCCTGAAGTGCTTCACGCACTTGCCCATCATCCAGCTCTGCGGCCGTGAAGGCATCGGGATCCGGCTCCGGTGGCCCCTGGGGCCAGTCACCTTGCCACGGTTCTTCGGCCTCGCCAAAGTACTGCCACTGATCCCACTGGTCATCGTACCAGTCTTCTTCTTCCCATTGTCCCTGCTCGGCCCATTGTGCCTCGTAGCCGCCCTGCTCCTCCATGTGGTAGACCTGCGGATTCCCATGGGAGTTGAGATTGTTGCTCTGGCGCCTGGCGCCCGAGAGCTGCTCGTCCCACAGAATCTGCAGAGCATTGGACACAGACTCAAAGTCGAGCCGATTGGCCGTAGAAGAAAGCACATCACGTCGCTCCTCCAAGGAAAGACTAGCAGCCTGAAGAAGCCTCCAGCCTCGAAGGACGTCCAGGATGAAGCTGTCGAAGGTATCATCGTCCGTCTGGATGCCCCGGGCGAAGCGCTCGACCTCCCTAACAAGACGGCGCGAAGCCGGTGAGCCGCCCTCCTGTGGCGTCTGGCCTTCACCACCCTGGTCCTCCGGTGGTCCACGACTTGGGCTGCCCACTGCGTGGGCCGCCTCTTCCTGCTCATAGCCACCAAGAGGTGCCTCCTGGGTAGAAGGTTCCGCCCCAGCCTGCTCGGAGTGATAGTCTTCCTCCTCGCCATCATACCAGCCACGCTTCCACCAAGGCTTCGACGGACCTTCGGTCCACCAATCGTCCTTCTCCTCCTCCTTCTTCAGGAGGGTCTCCAGGCCGAAGAGCTGCTTATCCATCGTAATGCCTTGCCTCTCTTCTCTCAAGCGTACCAGCGCTTCATTAAACTCCTCAAAGCCCAAGGTCTCCCGCACAAGGAAGTTCGTGATGCTCTCTCCCGGCTGCCGCTTGAACTGAAAGTACTGAGACATGATCGCGGCCGCGTTCGGCAAGGACCGGCGCACAAGAGGAGACTGCGCCAGCTTCCGCAGGAAGATAAGAACACCGAGGTCATTGTCGAACTCATTCTGCGGCCAGGACATAGCCAGCAAGCGGGCACTCCCAGTCAGGCGCCCAATGAGGCGCGTCGCCAGGTAGCGGCGTTGGTTGTGCTTGGTTCCCTGCACATACCAGGCCACCTCTCTCGCATACCGCCTCCACCCCTTCGGGTGGCCATCCCAGGCGGGTATGCATCTCAGAACACCACTCTCAGATAAACCCGGCAAAGTCAGAAGCCTATGCGAAAACCGCACAAGCCGCGGGCCTTGCCAGCCAAGCGTGTGTCCAGAAGCCAGGCGCTCGCCCAAACACTAGTTGGAAGCCTCGAAGACAAAGGTCAGGACACTAGTTCCAGGGCTCGCCGTGATAGATCAGGATCCAAGAGGAGATCGCGAAGAAGTGCCTCTGGATCCAGCCTCGCTCCGCTACCAGTGCAGTAGCGGAGGGCGCTCACTGCACTGGTTTCTCAAGCAACTGAACCTGCACAGCTCTCTCGAAAGGATTGGGCTCAATGATAGGAAGGTGCTGAACAAAGCTCCCAAGAGCTCGAAGGTAACAAGGCTCTGCTGCGAACCTTTTCTCGTACGCCTATGGCTCACGTCAGTCGAACCTCAAGAAAGGGGCCCCTTGCTGCAAGCAAACGTGGCGATCAAGAGACAACTGCACAACACGCAGAATCACATGTTACCCAGCATGAAAGATACATGTTGCATATTCCCATAGTCTGTCATACTGATTTCTGCGTAAACCATGTGACAGGCACCTCCACAAATCGATGTGCACGCCTGGCAGTGGAAGGCCTTGCAGAGTTTGCAGAGCTCTGCCGGGGCTCATCATCGTCATCCTAATCTGTCTGCTTGACAATCGTATGAAGATGATCATCATCAGCGGCAGCTTGATCATCCTCCGTAGATTACTTCTTGGTTATGATGATTACATATGATTACCATTGGCGTCCAAATCTCCATCATGGCCCATGACCGACAAGACCGTCATCACCAGCTTTGGCACCATCAGCAGCAGTTGCGCCGCGTTGCGCCAAAGACTGGCATTGTTCATTGCCGTCAAACCGTTATCATCATCACCACCATCGTCATCGTCGTTATTCTCATAATCGTCGCCTTTACCATCACCATGGTCATCATCATCACTATCATCACCATCATCATCATCGTCACCCTCATCATTTTTAGTATCATCCTCGTTGTCGCCGTCGCCATCCTCCTCCTCATCATCATCACCATCATCATCATCAACAGCACTGTGCCCATCATCATAATCATCATTTTCATTTTTCATCTTCTTCGTCAACAAGCAGTCGTCGTCAGCATCATGGTCTTCCTGGGCTTCATGTTCAGCATTTTCGTCATTACCAGCATCATCACCATCATCCTCCTGATCGTCTTCATCGTCGTGGTTATCATCATCATCATCATCCTCACGGTCGCCGTCAAACCTAAATTGCCACGGGCCAGTTCTGTTGGCGTCCCTATGTTCAGACGTTCGCAGAGCGTTGGCAAAAGATGCTTGTACTGAATTTGGATCTCATAGAGTTTGATGGCAAGGGCAGCTTAGTGCAGCCGTCTTGCGAGACATGTCTCACGCAAGCTGATCGTAGATTTTCTGAAGCCTGTGATCGGCCTCATGCCCTATAAGCCCTCAAGGGAGCAGTGTCAGAACGCCTATAACCCCATAAACCCCTATTTAAAATCCAACTTAAACCCCTAAGCCCCCGCACCCCTAAACTCTACTATATTCCCCCATAACCCACCCCCCCCCCAAAAAAAAAAAGAAGCTTAACCCTAAGCCCCCCCAAACCCTAAACCCTGTTAGTGCCTTTGGTTAGCAGGGAATGGAGGAATGGGGTACAATTATAACTACTATTGCTACCATTCTTCCATTCCCCCTACTTGCCAAAGGTAAGTAGTGTCAGGTGCTTGCAGCAGTCCGGGCCGCCGCTTCGGATGAAGAAGCGGAGCGAGCGCTGTCGGGGCACCTGCCTCTCGTGTCCTGGAAGCACCGTGTGCAATCCGGGTTTAGGGTGTGTTTTTGCGGGTCAGGGTTTTCAGGGTTTTTTTGCATTTAGGGGTTTTAGGGCTTATCGGTTTTTCATTTAGAGTTGTTAGGGTTTAAGTCTAGGGTGTTTCGGGTTTAGGGTTTTGGGGTTTAGGTTTTTCTGGGTTTAGGATGTAGGGTCACGAGAGCTCCGACACCTCAGAAGCAACCTTCAGGACGACCTGGATGCGCCTGCGCTGCCGGCAGATGGGGACTTGTTTGTTGAGGTCGGAGTGGCATATGGGTAGTTGTCAAAGTTAGGGTCCCTGTTTGGGTGCCCTAACCAGTAGGTGCCGTATTATATTCGGGACCCAAAGAGGGACCATAATTTTGACAACCACCCAAATGGGGGTTTCCGAAAACAGGCGACCCTAATATAGTACCCTAAACAGTAGGACCCTGATTATAAGGACACCAAACTCAGGTACCCCTAATCTTCGGAAACTCCCATATGGAGTTGCCTTGACTTGCGTCGTCTTGCTTTCCCTCTAGAGTAGTGGCTACAACTTCATGACACGCTTCTCAGATCTTCTAACCCCAACTCCGTTGTTGTCCAGGTCGACAGGCTCATCCGTACGGAGCTCAGGAAGATTGTCATTGTCGAAGCTTTGCTTCAACCTGACTGTTTAGAAGGCTCCACACACTAGCATGCTATGATGCCAGCGCGGCTGATTCGCCACGTTTTGCAACCAACTATTTTAATTTTAACGCTACGCCGCCCGCCTCGCCTTTGTAGCGGCAGGGCGAGGGGGCAGTGGATGTCGTGTACACCATGCCAGGGGGGCCTCTCAGCCCCAACCTTTGCGTGTCCAGTGCGGGACTCGCTGCTCTTCTCCTTTAGGAGAGGGGGTGGGAGGGGGGGAGGGGTAGGGGGAGGGGAGGGGAGGGAGAGGAGGGAGGGGGATACAAATCAGGTAAACTGAAGGGAAGCCGGGCACGGGGGTTAGGTGGAGGGAACCTGAGGTAACCCTCCACCGATTGGTAAACTATGAAAACCGAATTCCGGGAGGGCATTTTGGCTGTATTGCGCCCAAAGGCCGAGAGGAGATTTCAATTAGGGGGACACCAGGGGAAACGCCAAGTCCCTGCATGGTCGAGGGTTGGGACCTATAATTGTATCGAAGCTCTTTCTCTCCCTCTCCCTCTCCCTCTCCCTCTCTCTCTCTCTCCCTCTCTCTCTCTCTCTCTCTCTCCCTCTCTCTCTCTCTCTCTCTCTCTCTCTCTCTCTCTCTCTCTCTCTCTCTCTCTCTCTCTCTCTCTCTCTCTCTCTCTCTCGGAGTTTATGGTTAAGGATTATCCAGTCATCCGGGGCCGTGCGATTGCATGAGCGAGCGTGTACCAGAACGTGCGAGGCCCTTTCCCTCTAAGCGTTTAGGTCTAGGGAGTATCCCAGAATCCGAAACCTTACGATTGCAAGAGCGACTGTGTACGCGAACATACGAGTGCGTAGGACTGCAGGCTTTGGCCAGGAACAGCAGGTTGCAGCAACGGCAGGAAGGTAGGACTGCAGGGTCTGCGGCCAGCCCAAAGAAGGGTTTACGATAAAGCGCCGAGCAATGGGGAAAGTGCTCAAACTGACCCCACCAATACTAAAACCCAAATCGGTGAACAATTGTTTTTTTCTTTTGCGCGGGGAGGGGGAGGTGTTGGGGGGTTTATAATAATTGGGCATTCAGTTTTCGATGACCGGTGGAAGTGGTGGTGGCAGTTGTTGCTGCAGTAGCGGTTGCCATTGGGGTTGTAGTTGTGGTATCCTCTGGTTGATGTAGTCATGTGGTCGTCGTTGTCCGAGTCGTAGTCTTCGCGGGTCGCCGTGGTGGTGGTGGACATCGTGGTGGGAAACTGGAGAAGACAACGAGCAATCGAACTACTCTGGTCTTCTCCAATGATAGCTCGTTGCCATTATCACTGACGTGATGACTCTTGCTCTTGGTAGGCAAAAGCTGGTGGCGGGCGTCGCGCGCGGCCATCGTCCGCGGCCGTCAGCATCGGACCGGTCCTCATGTTTGGGGCTTTGGGGCTTCAGAGCTTGTGGGGTTTTGAACTTCGAGGCCTTTGTTTCATGCTTTGAGGCTCAAGGTGTGAGATGGTGTTTGGAGCATCGTGGGTGTAGCATTGATGGATCTAGAATTGCAGATTTGTGCTCAAGGCACTGGATTCTTTAATGGTTGCAGAGAGCGCTGGATTACGTTTTCAAAGCACTGTGCTTGCCGGCAGCAGTCCAGGAGTGATGGACTGATAGTGCGGATAGCAGTGGAAATACACTTAAGGAATCAATGCTTGTGCAAGCTGCCGCCACGCCCCCCCCCCCCGCACCAAAAGGGATTATGCCCTCGTTGTGGCTCATGCTGGAGATGGCACCCAGCAGCAAGGAGTAGGCGTTTGCAGTTGTTGCTCTTATTCCGGTAGAAGCCTTCTTCCTCAACTTTGCGCGGTTCCATCAACCAAGATTCTTTCAACCGCGCTTCCTTCTACCCTGTTCGCCGCGTCCCTCAACCCAGATAGTGCGGATTCATTCAACCCCCATCGCCCGCTTCCATTAACGCAGACTGTGCTGATTCCGTCAACTCCGCCCGCCCCGCTTCCGTCAACACTACACTGTTGTCAACGCATCTCGGCCGCTCTTTTGCCAGTCTCACATTGAATAACGCAGCCCTTACCCTTAAAGAATGACCGGCGCCCTGAACATGCCGGCCGCCGTACGTCATGCGCCGCCTGCGGCGCATGTGCTAGTCGCAGTGCGGTGCGGGTGGTCAGCGAGGGCGGGGGACAAGAATCCGCGTGTCCGTGGTTGAGTGAGTCCTTGTGGTTGGGGTAGCACGCGTGTCCATAGTTGGAGCGACTCTTTGTGTATGGGTTGAACGAAGCAGTTGTTTGGGTTGACCAAGCAGTTGTTTGGGTTGAAGGAATCACTCCCTGGGCCATGGTTGAGTGATCCTGCGTGCCAGGGTTGAAAGAACCAGGTTTTGGGGTGGAATGCATCCGCGTTTTCGGGTTGACAGAATCAGCGGGCAGCGGTTGAATGAATCATTGGCGAAAAGTTGAAGGAATCCGCGCGCGACCTCTTATTGCTCTCGGGGTTTACGCGTTTTGGGCGTCGTGGTGAATGAGTCGAAGCGTCGGTCACGCGACAGTCGCACTATGACCATGGTAGCACGAGCAACGAGGGCATCAATCATCCGGTGTGTGATGTGACAAATATTCAACATTCATGCAGTTGCGCATGCTCGAACTCTGCTTTTCCTACGTCATAGGGATATGTCGCGTCCCCACTTGTGTGTGTGTGTGTGTGTCCGTATGTCTGTATCTGCCTGAGTGGTACACGTAAACGTGTATGTCTGTCTCTGCATAACTCGATTACCGTGATCGTTGTTAGTGCTGTTGCTACCATACCATTACCATTATCCTCTCATTCTCACTACTACGATCACTAGCAGTATCCTTATCATATCAATATCTTGTTTTATCAGTATCATCATCGCTGTTGCTCACAGTGTGGCTATCTATCTACATCACCTCTCTATCTACTACCTAGCTCTCCCAAGCTACGTAGCTATCGATCTATCAGTCCATGAAGAGTATGTGTCATACATACACACATACATACACACCTATCTGCCTACCTACGTGCATATACATACATAGCTACCTGGGTATTTGTAGCTGTCTATATGGGTGCATATGTGCTGTTACATAGATGCATGTCGCTAGGATGGACTTGACCGCCCCGGTGCGCCGCTGTGCCAGGGCCCATGTACCGCTTTGCTTGGTCCTTCGAAGAACAATAACAATCGCTGCTTACATGAGGGTCTAGGGTTAAGTTATGTTAGATGCTCCTTGTGCTTCTTTAGACCCAAACACCCCTACCCCTAAGCCCTCAGCTGTTGAAATAGTGTTTCCCCCTTGTGGCTCGGATGTCTTGAAGTCATCGAGCTGCTATGGATCAACTTGCAGCCTCAGGTTCTTACATTGTGAAACCCGTCGAAGTTTCTGGAGAACGGACGGGAATAAATATCAGATAGCACTATGTAGGTGCATGAGGCTTCAGTTGTCAAGTGTGCTGTGTTCAAGATACTTCGACTTCATGTCCTTTTCTGTCAAGCCGGCCATGCGATGTCACAACCGCTCGAGCCTGTGGCCATAACATTGCTGAGCCTCGGCACAATTACAGCAAGTGATGCACTTGGCTCTGGCAAGTTGTCGTTCTTTGTGTCTGGGCCGGAACATGCCAGTGGCGAGGCACGGCGGAAGCCGCTATTCGTTGAAGTTCTTCCGCGGAACAAGCCGTGAGGAACTCTTGAGCTTTGTCCAGGAAGTGCTCCAGATTGGTGAGGCTGGACGGGGCAGAGGTGGAGTCAGCAAGCAAGTATTGCAGACCCATGTTCATTAAACCATCATCCCCTTAAGGGCGAGAGATGCGCGTAATCATGGCTCTACCGTACATTGGGTTTAGGCTTTTGGCTTTAGGGGTTCAGGGGTTTAGGGTTTAGGGGTATTACATGATACCTCTGTGCCAGATTGGTTGCAGGTTCCGGCTCACCGGATTCGATTCCTCGACGGCGACGGCTTGATCGTCCTTCTGAACAGTTTCGTACCCTCGGACACGGTGGGGACGAACATATGATCAAAACCTCAGCCCTAAACCCCAAACCGTTGGGTTTTGGGGGTTTGGGAATATCAGGTGCTCAGGGTGGAGCTGGACACCTCCATGGACGAGCTCGTCCTGCAACGAGCCGTTGTCCCAGAGGAAAGTTTGCAAACACCGCTCGAATTTTTGAGTTGCCTTGACGTAAGCGGTTCGGATTGTTGTCCGTGCTGCCACTATCAAAAATTTTGCAAGCTACATGGGAGGTCAGCCCTGATGCTTCTGATGGCTTGCAACGCAGCGGCAAGTGGAGTCACTGTGAAGCTGCAGTCGCAAGAAGTTCGTTGAATGCACGCGCGCGCGCTTCTGGACAGTGTCTGGTGCTGACAAGGCAATTCCTGCTGCACGAGTTGCACTGTGTGGAGGACCATGACCAACCTGTTTGCAAACTGTTTCCAATACCCGATCCTTTGATCAGCTCTAGCCCACTCGATATCTAGTCTAGAAGCTTCCTAAGCTCAAACGATTAGTGGCCAGCCCGCAGGAGGTGCTACGCAGCGCGACTCTAAAGCGCCGACGTCTCCAGGCGGAGATGACCCAGCAATGTTGTTGTTTGTCATGCCGCATGCTATTCGACTGTGTGGGTCTGGTTGGTCTTGTACTCGATGTCGGTTTTGCAATCAGTCCTGTTGTGCTGTTAAATGCTATATTATCGGGATGATTCGGGGGGAACATGCCCGGCCTTTGAGCTCAAGCTCTCACCTCCCATCTCCCATTTAGAAGATGGGGTGGCTTCGAAGTTCGAAGGTGATGCTAGGTTTCCTCTGGCCACAGTAGTGTGACCAGAGTAGCTGGTCAGAAGCAAGACTGGCAGGATGGTAGCAGTTGTACTAGTTTCTCGTAGTACTGGCCGTAGAGTCGTAGAGATACTACCATCACCATTGCCATTATTCGATTTTACACGTGTATTGTGGCTACTACAACTAGTACTAGTACTAGTACTACAGTACGTTCGATATCACTGTCATTAAACCCACGGCTTGCTTGCAGGATCTCGTTGGCCCTGCGCAAGCGCAGCGGCTCGCGGGGGCCCTCGAATAGCCGACGGTCTTAGGTGAGGCCCAAACTGCTTGGGCTTGGACTTGAGGTTTAGCTGCACAGCAAGACTACTGCGCACGGATAGGGGTCAACTGCAAGCTGCAGCCTAAGGTCTTTCGAACGGACCTTCCCATCTACATTCGCCGCTTGGTTGGCCTGATCCGTTCGTAGATCCTCCCGAGTGACCTTCCAAAATACTCCAAAGTGCTACCGAGGCCAGAAGATCTTCGAGTGCCTTCTGGTGAAGGAGACAGTTCGGTTGCCAAACGACTCTTGGCTCCATGCTGTCATGGGCTTGTAGCTGCATACATCATGTGGGCCGCCAGGCTCAAAGTCTGCAGTAGATCCCCTAATTTGGGGCCCTATACTACTAAGGGTACTTTAATCGGAACCCCCAAGGTATGTCGGAGCTTCTTGGCCTTCTGCACCACAGAAGGCACATCTCTTTCGGGAGTCGACTCCTGGCCATGCAGCATGAGCTGTAGAGTCTCCTGGTCTCCTCAGGGCGCCGGGTAATTCCGGTGATCAATGACCGCGCCCTTCGCGGCGGTCCGGTGGCCGCACGGCGGCTTGCGCGCTTGGTGCATCCTTCCTTCATCTACATGGCCCCTCGGCCCTCGGCATCTCTTGGCCTTGGATTCTATACTATACTATATTATGTTATATACTATATACTATATGCTATATACTTTATACTATATACTATATACTATATATTATATACTATACTATATTATACTATATATTATAATAGACTATACTATATTATACTGTTTATTATAGTATACTATAGGGCTTCCAAGCCAAGGTTGCTGTCAAGGACCACGGTGAGGCGGCCTGCGCCTTTCTGGAAGCCATCCTCAGCGAGTGCCCTTCCGAGTTCAATAGCCTGACACGCATCATGGTCAAGAATGCTCGCTTCGTCTCCGCACCTCGGCCTAGCCGGCACGATTTGCGTGAGGCCATAGCGGCCGAGTGCATGCGTGACTATGGAGACAGCCAAGGCGACGCTCCTTATCCGATTGCTGAAGAGGGCGGCAAAGCTGAACGAGGCGAAGACATCGCAATCCGCAGCATTCTCGCATTCACAATCTCGCAAGCTGAGGTCAAAATCCTTACGCGCCTGGATCGACCTCTGCCGGCAGAGTGTCTGCGGAGCGTGGAGAGTCTTTCTGCCTTGGTGGGCTGCCCAGTTTCAAGTGCTTGCTCGCTCCATTAAAAGCTCCGCAGATGGGATTGGTGATGGAGGTGGTGATAAGCAGGCGAAAGGAAAATTCATGGTGGTGATGATGACGAAGATGATGATGTCAACCATCACCGAGATGAGGAAGAGAATGTTATCTGCCGGGTCGGATCACCTGCCCGGTGTCGGGTCTCGGCATGTCTCAGCTTTTCACAGACCCGTGCAATCCAACTTCCTCCGCGGCTGCTCAGAGCCTCCAAAACCCCTTAATTAAGGAATATACCTTCATAAATTATAATAGGATCCCTTATATGATTTAAGGTATATTCCTTAATTAAGGGGTTTTGGAGGCTCTGGGGCCCCAGGTGCTACACTCCACTGAAGTGGTGGGTTTCTCATCGCTGTTTACAGCCGGTCCTTTGGCTGCCACTTGGGCGCAAGTAGGCCTTGGTCTTGGTGAGGCAGGAGCCCAAAATGTTGCTGCTTTGAGAGGCATTGCGATTTGTGCAGATTGTGGACAGCCCGCACTTAAACTTTGACATGCTCCTGGGCACTTTCACATCCCCATGTCCCACTGGCGTCCACGTCCAGCATCTGCAGGCAGCCCTTGATCTGCCGGGAGACTGACAGTAAGAGGCATTTGGGCTTCGTTTTTTTTGGCTTCTGCAGGTTTCCCCCAGCTCCGATGAGCCGCAAGACCGGCACTGGAGTCAGTGGGTTCAGCCCTTGGCAGACCTCTTGCAAAGCCTCGACCTGAGCGCAGTCCAGAAGGCCTTCATCGCCCGTACCTGACGGATGGATCAAAAAGAGTCCTTTTCCGAGGCCCTCCGATGGCTGCCTTAGTGCAGCTGGACGTTCCTGTGCCCTCCTACTCCGTGAAAGCGGCTGAGACCGCCAGGGCATTGCTGGAGCGCCTGCAGCAGAGGCGCTTGCCCCGGGACCTCGCAAGGCTCCGATTCCTCCCCTACAAGAAAAACTGCAACTCTTCGGTGGCTTCGGCAAGGCTTTCTTCCTTGCAACGTCTCGTTTCGTTTATGAGAATCTATAGTACGTCAACGCATATGGAAAGCTCCGCCCTGTGTGCTTTGCGGTATCTCGCATGCTAAGGCGACGCTTTTGTGTCGCGCCCAACCTTTCCTCAGATGGAGACCGTGATCGAGATCCAAGAGATTCTGGGCAAGTACAGGTACGGCCGTCTACCAGACATATATATATATATATATACACACACACGGATACGTGTATGTATGCGCGTAAGTAAGTATGTATGTATGCATGTATGTGGGTTTGATTGTTTGTTTTTGTCTAATCGAGATTATCATGTTATATCGCGTCCTATTCTATACTATCATTTCACAACGTAACGTATATGTATATATATATATATATATGTATATGTATATATATATATATGTATACATATATACATACATATATATATATATGTATATATTCAGTCATCTATAGATATTACAGATAGGGTCTTGACGGTCGTCCTTTGCACACCTGTCCAGGCAAGCTTGGCCATGGCTGGAGGTCCGTTTCCCTGGCGTGGATGGGCCCTCGGAAGACGTCGACTAGAGGAAGGCCCACGTAGAGTAGGTGAAAAGTAGGGTTGTAATTGGGGTACCCCCCTAAACCCCACTTATAACCTACTTGCTAAGTCCCCTGCCCCTCTAAGCAAGGCGATGCCACAGGTGGGCGCGTCCTGCGCAAGTCCCCGGCGAAGGCGAGGCAAAGGTCTCCGGTACGGCTCCGTCCTCCATCGCTTCGGAGCTCCTGGTCCCCCTCCACAAGTCCCACGGTCCCCACGCTCCCCATGCGAAGCTCGGCACCTCTGGGAGCGGAGGAACAGAAGGGCTCAGCCTTGATGCTGGGTCGAAGTGCGAAAGAGAAGCCACGTGGGAAAAGCTGGCTGTGTCCTCCTGCTCTGTCGGCAAGCCTGAAGCATCGGAAACTGTTGCATAGAGAAGCTCTGCGAATTTTGGGCTTCAGTCAGGTCTCTGAACTGAAGCAAGAGGCCGAGGCGCGCCAGAAGCCAGGGCCTGGCATGCGCCTGGGGATGCGATTCTTGCCAGGAGCTGGTAAGGTGGCTGGACCATTCCTACGCCCACCCGGCCTCGACGCCCATGGCGATTCAGTGGGCCCTGCACTAAGGATTCCCACTAAGTGCAAGGCCTCAGCAGATCGGGTCTAGAGATGAGGCTCAAAACTCGTCGGCGGCGCTCCGAGCAAAGTCTGCCCTTCTCGCCACGTGATGGGACATCCGCCGGAGACGCTGAGCTTTTGAGTTGAGGCCGTGATGATATCAGCTCGCTTCTCACACAAGTGGGAGGCCCGACTGGGGCCCAACGCTCAGTATACTGAGAGCAAATTGCAAGATTGGCTGCCAGGCACCCGGAGCAAACCTAGCAGTGTACTCCACAGAGAAGGGCCAAGGTCACGTCAACAAGGACGGAACACAGTTTTGGGTGATGGAGGTCTTTCGTAATGTCTATATATGGAGGCCAACATGCATCCATGCGCAATGCTGCCCTACCAGGACCGCACAGCCGAGTCAGTGCGGCGTCTACTCCGCGTAAACATCTCTGCATCTCGAGTCGAGGCTGAGATCATTGCCAAGGCCGTCAGAGGGGGACAGAGTTAGAAGGGCATGGATGAACAAGTGCAAATGTGTACGTCCACAGCGATGCAGCGCACTACTGAAGGTTGCTGAAGTCTGGGAGCAACAGTAACAGCAGTGAAGATGCAGCCCCGCAGTCAAATATGCTCGAGTCGGACCTGCACCATCAAGGGTGCGTGGTCAAGTGCGAGGGTAGCCATCTGTTTCCTTAACAATCCTTAACGGTCAGCAAGCACCTCGCAGCCGGAGGTGCAGAACAGCAGAAAGCGATTTACGCTGGACCTGAACCTTTTCGACGAGACCATCCCTCATGCATCAGGAGCCGTTACATGCAGCGCACACCCGCCTGTTCTGCGGTACGGGGCGATGGTCGTGCTGGTGCTACTACGCTACGCACGATGACGATGAGTCGAAGGAGCAGGAAAATGATGAGCATGACAGAGGACCAGGATACAAAGCATGGATTCTGGGCTGATGCTGATGCTGCTGTTGTTGTTGCTGATGGTGATGGTCTTGGTGACACGACCGGTATGATGAAAGGTGATGCTGACGATGGATGATGAAGACACTGGTTGATGGTGGACATGCCTGTGTGATGTTGCTTGGTGTGCTAGGGTGGGCCAATGACATGATAGGTGGTGCTGCTGATTGCCTTGTCGTTGATGATGTCGGTGATGAGGATGCTGATGATGAAGTTCCAGCTGGCGGTGATGTGTTGGTGATGGTGATGAAGAAGCAGAAGCTGAAGATTGTGATCACGGCTGGCATAGCAATGGTGATGATAACGTTCAGAACACAGTACGATGATACTCGGAAGGAGATACAGATGCAGATGATGATGAGGTTCTCATGCTGATGGTGATGACCACATGGATGCGGAGGAGGAGGAGGAGGAGGAGGAGGAGGAGGAGGAGGAGGAGCAGGAGTTGAGGGAAGGCGTAAGCATATGCGAGCATGAGGAGATCGTCTTTATGCAGCCAGTCGCAGTAGAAGTGGGTTGACGGTGCACTTCGGGTTGGCTGAAAGTGAACGGTGGATTGCTTCGTGCCGATGCACTACATGCTTGCAGGCTGGACTGTCGAGTTTCGCAAAGCGTGACTTGCCGGAGCAACCAGGAGAAGAGCGCTACGGGTCATGGGTCAGGTATCTTGCATTCTCTCTCGACTCCTTCTGAGGCGAGGCAGCATGCAGATGAGCCGTGGCGCAGAGATTCCGGAGCTTCACATTCACGAACTTCGACGGCAGTCTATGCTGTGATCTGGGGGATCTGGGGGGTCTAGGGGACGTTGGACATTATTTTGGGACATTTAGGGGTCCTTTAACAGTTTGGGGTCATGAGGGTCCCATACTTTCTGCAGTTCCATCTTGAATTCAGGTGCCTTGAGATTCCAACTCCACCATGGACAGCAACATGCCGTCTTGTGACCACGAACCTTTCAATTCATAACGGATTCCACGATGAAACCCTGGGAAGCCATGTTACATGAGGAGAAGTGCCAACAAGAGCTGAACCCCCTTCGGAAAAAACAAAACGAAGCCCCCTACCCCCTGTGCCCGCTGAAGCCCGAGAGCCCTAATTCAAAAGGGTGGTTGGCAAAATTATGCTCCCTTTTCGGGTCCTTCATATAATACAGCACCTAATATTTAAGGTACCCAAAAAGGGACCCTAATTTTGACAACTACCCAACAGTTAGCCGCCGAAGAAGGGACTCCTCTTGCACGATCCCAGATGCGGAAGCGCTGGCCTTCGCCAGACTACGCCTGGCTGCTTCACATGCACTAAGTGGGACGGAGGGACGTATTCTCATATGTGATATATACACCGTATACATAATATGTATATATATATATATATATATAAACATATTATATCATATATTAATATGATATGATATTATATCATACTATACTATATTATATTATATCATACTATATTATATTATATTATATTTTATATTATATTATGTTATATTATATTATATCATACTATATTATATTATATTATATTTTATATTATATTATGTTATATTATATTATATATTATATTATATTTTATATTATATTATATTATGCTATATATTATTATACTATATCATATTATATTATATAATATTATATTATATCATATTATATTATATTATTTTATTTTATTTTATATTATACTATGTAATATTATATTATGCTATATATTATTATACTATATTATATTATATTATATCATATTATATTATAATTATATCATATCATATTTTATTGTATTGTAATGTATTATATTATGATATATTATGATATATTACTCTATATTATATTATATTACTCTATATTATATTATATTATATTATGTTATGTTATCTTATATTATATTATATTATATTTTGTTATATTATATTATATTATCTTATCTTATCTTATATTATATTTTATTATATTATAGTTTTAATAAGTTATATTATATTAAATTATATTATGTTATATTATATTATATCATATTATATTATATTATAATTATTATTATTATTATTACTATTATTATTATTATTGTTATTATTATTATTATTATTACTATTATCATTATTATTATATATATGTTATAATATATATTACATATATATATATATATATATATATGGACACACCCCCCCCCCCCCCCATGACCTACCTCGGCCTCTTTTCCATTGTAAATACCGTCAAAACCTTCTCTTGGCAGGGATTCGCGTTTGGCATACGATTCGTGTTTTGCGTAATTTTCGGGGATGATACCTTCTCTATCATGGCTGATGTGAAGTCATGTCTCTTTACAACGTCGTGCCTACTCATGTCCGCTTTCAAATTCATATGCCTGTATTCATAAGCAAGAAACATTAAAAGAAACCATACGATACGACGGCGGAAACCAAAAAACCAAAAATCCAAAAATCCAAAGCCTTTCTGAGGGGCCCGAAACTTTTGGATTTTTTGGTTTTCCTAGGTCTTTTTTGGTTTTTTGGGCTTTGCCTTGGCGAAACCATGGCTTTTTTTGGATTTTCGGTGGAAAACCAAAAAAACACAAGGTTTTTTTGGTTTTTCTGCTGTGTCTCTCGTGAAAAACCAAAAAACACCTGTGTTTTTTTGGATTTCTGCTGGAAAACCAAAAAAAACCTTGGATTTTTTTGGATTTCTGCTGGAAAACCAAAAAAACCTTGGATTTTTTTGGTTTTCTGTTGGAAAACCAAAAAAACCCTAGGAAAACCAAAAAATCCAAAAGTTTCGACCCCCCTGACAAAGGTTTTGGATTTTTGGTTTTTTGGTTTTTTGGATTTTTGGTTCTCGGAGCCTTAGAGCCAATACAGCGCGCAGCATGCTTGATCGGAAATGGTTTCGTTGTTTACGCGCAGTAGTCTTCAGATGTGCATTAGGCATTAGTGTTAGTATTAGTATCTGCGTTCTAGCGTGTTGATTCGTGTTACTGTTAGTGTTGGTGTCAGTGTCAATGTCAATTCCAATGTCAGCGTTAGTATTAGTCTGAATATAAGTCTATACAATAGGTGTACTAATGGTAGTGTTAATGTCTAGTGTGAGTTTTAGTATTCGTATTAGTCTTGGTCTTAGTCTCTGCCTTATTCTTAGTGTTAATATTAACCAGTGTATAGTCTCATAGTCTATGGTAACATTGGAATAGTAGTATACGAGTATATTATTTATTGGTATGTGAAAATACAGATTCTTTGGTACATTGATGTGTCTGTTTTTTGTATTTGGTTTGAACGTGATTATTAGTATTCGTAGGAGCATTAATATTGGTATCAATAGCAGTATCGCTGTTCATACTATGCATAATCGTATTATCTGGAGTATCAAGTGGTAATACTGCTATTCATGTTAGTGTAGGTTTTTTAATGTGAATATAAATACTGAGAATAATTAATAAGACTATGCGCATTAATCTGCGGAGGAACTGTATCACTTATGTGCATATTAG